CGCACACGCTATGCGTGCGGCTTTGATGGCTCGAAGCGTGCTCCGAGATCCATCGTACGGTGAAACGGAGCATGAAAGCTCGGAAAATATGGAAGAGATTCGGGGATTTCTTTACTACGGGAGAAGTTAGGAGAAAGAAGGAAGGGAGGGCGGGGGTTTGGGGGGGTCGTAACTCCTCTGTGTTGCAAGCTCTAAACCCACCGGCTTCGGCATGTAGCTCGGCTCCCCTTCTCTTTCTTTTCTTCTTTGTATATATCATGTCGAGAAACGGTTTGAGGGAAGACGAATCTGGCATGCATTGCTTGGCAGGCCGTGTTTCTGTCTGACTCGCTCGTAGCACCCGCTTCTCTGACGGGACGCGGGGGAGGGGGCTGGCAGTCTTTTTTGGCGGGGAAAGTTTCCCGCCAAAACGGCTCGTTCTCTCACGGATGGCCAGACGCTATCGGATTTCGCGGGAAAGGAAGTATAATCTTTTCCGCACCCCAAGCACTCGCGGCTGTTACATGCAACAGGCGTGCAAATATATTTTTTTCTCTTTCTTTTTTTAGCTGTATTTATGTTTTGTGCGGACGACGGCACAACGACTAAGCGAGAAGGTAGAAGTCGTAGAAGTTTGGGGATGGTGAGGACCCGTTTAGCGTTCTTTCAGTGCGTCGTCAGAGGCGTTGTGTAGTTGTCATCATCATGTTATGCAGTAACATTTACTACTTTAAACTCAAGAACCGTAGCAAAAAAAAAAAAAAAAAGTCTGGTTGTGCGCGGAGCGTTATTAATTTCTCCTACAACGAAACGTACGTACTCAAACGCAAACAAGCTTTTTTTTAGCACTGAATTTGGAAGCATTACTTCGCGCACCGCATAAACTATGCAAAAACTCACTTTGATCTTTAGGTCCTGATTCGATAGCAAATATATGTTTTTTTTTTTTTTTACATGCGTCATCGACGTTAGGGGTTGGTAAATTAAAAAAAAAAAAACAGTGGGTTCGCTGGGCACATTATGATGGCGATGCCAAAGATGCTCGTCCTTCACAACTGAATGTATCGACGGTCCATCTTCACACAGACGAGAGCAAGCTCCAATACAGAGAAAAGCGAAAGAAAGAGCGCGGATGAACGCGCTTCCCCCGATCTCCCAACTCGACGCACGCGCGTGTGCATGCAACTCGTGTACGCTGGTGGATTCCCGATGCCACGATAAGCGACGACGAGCGAAGAACGGAGAAGCAAGTCGCACCGCCGCCGAGAAAAGCCTGTAGGAGTCAATCAAGGGAGAGCCACGCGCAGGGCGGGGAGGACGATCGTGAGTTCCGGCCTCGGCAACGATTGGCCACAGTCGGCACTACGTTCGCACCCTACGGTGACAGTACAGTGGGGGCTGCGCGCTCGGCGGACTAATCAACGGCTTCCCTTTTTCATCCCCTGAGCGCTCTGTCTCTGCGCGTAGGTGTAGGCGGGAGCGTGATCACGTGGAGAAAGATAAGACGTGCGCCTGGTCCAACGGGCATCGTAGATTCCACCGCACTGTCGTCTTAGGGGCGAACGGAGACGCGTGCCGCCGGAGTCGATGCGGCGCAGACGACTCGCATTCCGTTGCAAATCAAGCCCGTCCGATCGGCGGCTGTTTCCAGACACGGAAGGGATTCTTTTGATCCGCCATCGGTGGGGATGATTGCGTCCGATCGACACCGGCGCGGCGGCGGATGACCCGACGACGGGGAGAGGCGACGTTGAGGCCAGACGAGCCCTCGCTGCTGTGTCTTGTAGCGCGTCGGCCCCGGAGGTCGCCTTCGAGGGGCTTATGGGGGAGGTCCGGGGCTTCGACGGGCCTTTAGGGAATTTAGTGTCGTTAACGTTACGTGAATATAACCCGTTTCCGTACGCAGCAACTAACGTAGTCCGAAAAAAAAAAAAATGAAAGACGTGTACGAATCTTTGTAATGCGAAATTAGAGCGCAGCTCTTGAGGAGGAGGGGAAGGTACGAAGGGGAGGGTATGCCCTTCCTCCTCCAAATCAGTTTCCCCGCTAAATAAAGCGGGTAAAATTACGTCACGTCACCTATGAACAAAATCAGTTTCTCCGCTAAATTTAGCGGGGAAGTTGAATTGGTCTTGAGGTCATGTGACGTCAATTTTACCGCTAAATATAGCGAGGAAACTGAATGCACAGTGTTACATTATGGGACGTCACAGGAGGAGGAAGAGGGGAGTGTACGGACCCTCCATCTCTTTACCCTCCCCTCTTCCTCTTGCGTACCGTCCCGTCACGGTATATCGCAAAATCAAAATACCCCAAGAGCTGCACTCTAATTTCGCTTCCAAAGATTTGTAAACGACTCAATTTTTTTTTCCGCATTACTTTTTTTAGGTATTACATAGTAAATAACTATTGTCCCTCTTTTTTGACGTCCCGAATTCATGTCTCTGCCGAGTAACCAGGTTTCATGCCCAGCCGTGGCGGAGTTAAAACATGTATGGGGAAAGAGGAAGGGGAAAGGAGGGGGGGGGGGGGGTGAAGAGTGCCAGGTACGTATATTATATATGTAGGAGTAGGACACTCACCCATATGAAAGATGCGCACTGCGCACTATAAGTCGATTTTACGAGTTTCAAGAGTTGTGTTCGGCTTTCCGCGGGAAAAAGACAAAAATGCGTGTTTGTTTCCAGACAACGCTGTTCTTGCACGCAGAAGCGGACCTCAAAAACGGGACTGTCCCGGGCAAAACGGGACGTCTGGTCACCCTAGTGTTTCCAGACAACGCTGTTCTTGCACGCAGAAGCGGACCTCAAAAACGGGACTGTCCCGGGCCAAACGGGACGTCTGGTCACCCTAGTGTTTTCAGACAGCGCTGTTCTTGCACGAGTGCTCATTCAAGTGGGCAGGAGATCGAACTATAGGGGCGCTTTATCTAGCTTGTTTTCCCTGAAGTCACTGGATCCTGGCCCCTTGGAAAGCAGCGCCATTGCCTTCCCTACCTTCTAGACGGACAGAAACAGATACTAGCACACAGACGAGCAAAACCTCGCAAGGCGATTGGCTAATCTGTCCACGTTGCCATGGAAATCGCCATTTCGGTCCATTCAAATCTTCGAAGCTTCCAGCGGATCGCTCTGAACCAGTCGCGCCAAGATCACCATGGAGCATCACCGTACTGCAAGCGTTCCTCACCAATATAAGCGTCTTTGGCACTGTGTATGCAATCAACTTATCAATCATGCCCATTTCCACGGATCTTTTTACAATCATATTGCTCTTCTTCACTTCTTGCGTATTTCAAAACCGTAAACTTATTTTTCAGTGCCTCAGCGTTGGGGGGTAATAAGGTGGAGAACTGGGCAAGTTGGTTGACGTTATACATGATGGGGAAAAACTGAGCTGTTTTCCCCAGCACCAACTCAGCACGTGGTGGTGGTACGAAGATGTTTCGCCGCTGTGTGGATAGCCAAAATCTCGGTATACAAGAAACGTCTCCTTAAGCTACCCGTCACCAGCGAATTTAGATCGGCTCACCAAGAGCGGAGGAGTCCAAGAAGAAATTGCTAATTTCTCGGACCAAAATGGCGACCATAAGGGGAGCTTGGCGCTACTTGCCCAGGTTCCAGTGACTCTGGTTGTCCCCACAGTCTCTGTTATGTTGTGTTCACAACATAACAGAGAAACTGAACCTCGCCTAGCACGATCTGAGCACGAGCGCTTCGTCGTGACCAGTGCTTTGGTCGCACGAGGAGCGGCCTTCGAATCGTCATCTTCTTCGATTTGTTTTCCCAGAGCTGTTTTCCCCACAGCTGAAGCGTACCACTGGAGGCGTGACTGTTCGATCTCCTCCCCAATAGTCAGTAGCCAAAGCTAGAAGCGCGAGCTGGTTCGTGCTCCTGGCTTTGAGACCTGCATTTTGAGCGCGAGTGCTCGTTCTGCGCGAGAGCGCTTCAGGGATTCCACAACTTCCAACAGAAGGCACACTTTCGAAAGGTGTTATCGTAAGGAAGAAAACTTGTACTTTTCAAAATTGCGATTTAACACCCACTCCTCTCTCTAACGCCTTATGGCCCTGAGGGTAATGTAAATCAACGAATAAGGCAGCGACTTCGAGCTCTCGTTCTTGTGCGACTGTCCATTCAGAATAATGCATGAATCCAAAATTGGCGCCATGATCTTAGGCCATGCTCATAAAATGTATTCCGAAAAACTGCAAAATTTATTTCAAGCAAAGTGGCGCCATCTAAGAAGAATAGAGCGAAACTTGACTTTATCGTCGTATCGTCTGCTCGCTGGTTCGGCATTCGGCTAAACGACTTCGCTCTCAAGTAGCTGGGCACCTGGGTTTCTTATCTGGACGTCGGTTCAAATTCTAAGGCAATTGGCTTCAGGTATTGCTTCACGTATTGCTTCATGCCCATGGCCCACGGTATGGTGCCTGGAACTCTATGCCTGGAACGCGTCTCCGACTGGTGTGTTTGGCGCGCCCAAAAAAGTGGTCCCTCGATTCCCGCCTGATGACGTCATAAAAGTGCCATGTTGCCGCCGGTCGCGATCCTGGCGGCGTCTCAATAGCTATGGTGTGTGTGCCAGACGCCTGTTCTGCTGCAGGTCGCTCTCCAGTGTGACAGTCCACGGAAGTCAGAGCAGCCAGAAGTTGGCACGCCGTGACGACAGCGACACTTGCGTTGGCTCGTGCCTTTCGTCAGCATTTCTACGGCCAACCGCCAAGATCGCGACTTCCGACAAGATGACACTTCAGCTTCTGTGACGTCACTTGTTGCCACTTCGGGACCACTTCGGATGTATGGGCGGCGTAGGCGGCGTAGGCGGCGTAGGACGCGAAACACACTGTAGACACAGCGTTGTCTGATCTCAAAATACACACGACCGCCGACACTTTAAGCGTTGCCATAAATAATAAACGACTCATCTGAAATGCGGGATTTATTCTTTTTTTATTAAAAGAACGTCGTAAAGGTAAATAGGCGTACGAAACTTAAGTTTGACAAAATCGGCCGTACCTGCCATCGCGCTCGTTGCGTATCTCGGGGAAACTTCGCTCCACAGTGCTTCGCTCGTTCATTGCGTCTCCGTTGATTAGGTGCACGTTGCAAGGGACATCAGATCTTCCGCACCTGGCCCCTATTTCGGCAAAGAAACCGCAACGGTCAACTGTCGAGTAGGCTTTCGCGAAAACCGGCTGTGCAGCGACCATGAACCCCGTGAACGACAAATCGGAATATGACAAATGGGTGATGAAACAGAGCCCTAAGTACAAACAGCGCTACCGTAAAGAATGGGAGGAATGCCCAGCGTTCAAGGGTAAGCCTTCACCACACATGTTGAACCACACGGCCGTGCACTCGAAACCAAGCTCGTCTTCCGCACTGCTCTGCGTTGTGCGCTTCTCCTCCGGCCCGGCACGTCCCATTCGCCGCACTGTATACCGAAATTCCGCTGTTTTTAGCGACGCGCGTTGCCCGATCTGTTTGCAGGCGCGGCGTCCATTCGCCCGTCAGGTATAGCGGATTTCGCGCGGCTCATCGAAATCGGCGGCGTTTCCGCCGGTCATTCGCCGAGTTCAGCCAAGTGCGTTTTCTGCAGGTATACGTGTTGATGTGACGCGCCGCTCGTTTTGCTCGGATTAATTACTAACGCTTAGTTTTCCCCACTGACGTCCCATTGGCAGTGAATCCCTCGTCTAGGCCTATACGCGCTACGTACGATTGCGCCGAAGCAACTGAAGCAAGCGGTGGCAACGTGCTGGCTGGGCTTGATAGAAGTCCCATAGCCTAATAAAAGAAAGAGAAAAAAAGGAGGGACGCTGGTTTGATGGACGTGGTCTGAGCTTTGCATCGCGACGTAAACTCTACTCTGCTGCTAGGTGTGAGTTTGTCTTTCTTTTGTAATGCGCCTGCCAAGGGTTGCCACGCATGTGAGCTAGGTTGAGCCTTTGGATTCCCCAAAATTAGAACCCTACTAAAAACAATTGGACAAACAAACCTCGTAATATATTTGGAAAGATCCTCTCCCTGTTTTGGGTAATTTTTGCCCCTTTGGTATGACAGTTGCATCTCTTTTTTAATAACCCACTCTCGAAAACACGTTTTGTGCGATCGAAGTGAAAACGATCTCTGATAGCGGCTCCAGACTACTGGTTGTAGTGATCATTACACTTACCCATTTAGTAGTTCTCTTGGGGGTTCCGTGACTCATAAGCGTGGGGCTCACGCAGCACATTTGAACTTCCTGGGCAGTGGGAAAACTTGTCAAATGTTTAGTGTACCACAAATTTCAGCATGAATGTGTTGCTTGATGAAATTACCATGTCACACCGGATACTCTTATGGAGCAGAAGCATGCCCTTACACCAGAAGCTATGCAGTGTACAAATTAACGAGTCCATCGGAGCTCTTAAGCGAGACTGTGCCATAGGAATTTCTTTCATTAATCACCCGATTCCAAAGTCCGGTTTAGCAATTAATGAGGCGAGCCTAGCAAATACTGGGGACAGGGAATGCCATCATTGTGCAGCCAGATCTGCTTTATCTATGCACTACCATACAATGGTCAGGGCATTGTGTGTTGTCTGTGTTAGCACATTGCAGCTGGACAATCTGCAGAGCAGAAAGCTCGCATGATGTCGCAGGGTTTATGTGACAGTAGGTGGAAGAATGAGATGCCATTTGGCTGGAGGATTTGAACGATTGCTACAGCATCCCGAGCCTCCAACTTGGAGTCATATTTGTACTCCTGGCATGTTCTAATGAGCAAAGTCATTCTTTGGCTAGTGGCTACATGGAGACCCTTGACCATCAACTCATCGAAGAATGCCATATAACTAGGCTTTCAACTCCCTGCTCTTAACGAATAACACCACCGTGCTTTTAACGGAATAACACCAATAGACATCCTTCAGTGTCCGAAATACAAAATCGGTTCAAACCAATAAACACCGATTTCTGAGCAGTCTCACTTTAAGCGAGGACTTTTTTCGTCGAAACCCTCCCTTCTGAAGGCTCATTCACACAGTTACGACTTCTTAGGACCAGAGGCGTCAAAAGATGGTTTTTAAGCCTTTTGTGATGGCTTACGATCGGCCCTGCAGCAGTGCAGCCAGTCGTAAGCCGCCACAAGAGGCTTAAAAACCAGTCTTGTTGAAGTTGGTCGTAGTCAATGCAAGTGTGTGAACGGGCCTTCAGACGTTTGTCTGGTGCATACTTTTGCTTAGGAACAAACACCCTGCCAGTCCCAGATCAGTGGAATCTCTGGCCTTGGAGGACAGTAGCATGAGAGGTCAGTTATTTGGTCATCGCACACTGTCTTAAAAGTCTTTGTTTAATTCAGGTTAGAGTTGGACAAGAGGCTCTGAAATTACGCTGGTGGGCGTTATCGCTCAAGTCATGTGAAAGAAGCAAGAGCAACTTGCTTTCCTCGTTGCACGTAACTTTTGCTTGAGAACAATTCCATTTTTGTCGTCGCAGATCAGAAGGTTAGTGGGATGTAAAGAAAATGAAAAGCTCCGGATGATTACAAAGATTGCGTGGACTTTGGATCGTGTTCAGATTAATTGCCCGTGGTTTGCAAGTACTGTCATATGTGCAAAGCGTTATCAGGGTGTAAATATATTGTAAATTAAATTTGAATTTCAGGTTTGTTTGTTTTTATCAGTGATCACAGATTTTAGCATTCATATGAAACAAATCGCCTAAATACACTAAGTTTTTAAAAATGAGTAAACCGAAAAGAATCATTCTATTCTCCTTATCAATAAACACTGGAAAAATTTATGACCTACACATAACAATAGGACCTTGTTCCTCCAAGTCGTTTGTGGACTTTGCAGTTTTGAGATGCATTTCAAACTCGGAAAACAGTATTCATGAAATTAACGTACTGTTGATAGGCACTACATCAAGAGGAGATAAATGCTGGTACAGTTGCAAAAATAATGTGACAATATGTTTTTTCGCAGTCTTGTTAATTTTTGACAAGTTCCAGACATGGAATTGTAAACCCATCGTTTCCATTAGGCATGCTGATTCAGCCCAAACGAAACTAACACTGATTTATACTACAAAGTTTTAGAAGTAAGTAGGAAAGACCTGGGGCCCTAAACTCGTCAAACACAAAGTTGGAACCGAAAGTAGCGGTGTACGCCGATTGGACGTCGGCAAAAAGCACAAAGTCATCGTCATGATAGGCCAATCGGTGCACTCCGTCAACTTCAGCCCCAACTTTGCATTTGACGAGTTTAAAGGCCCTGATGTCTCGCATATGGCACGCTATATAAGGTGTTTCGTAATGACTGAAAATAATTAGGGAAGAAAAGGACACTCGAAAGAAAGAAATGATTCCTTTGGTTGTTAGTGTGATTCTCTGAATTTTGATGAAAAACAAAGGGAAGAAATGGATGAAGACACCACTGCGTCTTTGTCTTCTCTTCAATTTTCGTCGAAATTCAGCTGTCCCCACTAACAGGTATCAGTCAACCGGCTCAACTCAACCCCGTGATGCGATTCCGTCGGCATAGTGTTATCGATGGTGGTGTTATCACCTGCCGCAGTCGATAAAGGGATAACATTATCGGCTGCGGCGCACATTGGGTCACGACTGCAAAGTGGTAATTACCAAGTGAATTACCTAAAGTCCGCTACCGTAACATCCGGAGAGATGCCCCCGAAAGATAACTTGCCCCCTATTTTGAGGACGATTTTCTACTTTTTTTTCAAAAACACAGGAAGATCGCCCATGTCTAGTAATTGCAGGGCCGTGGCCGGCACCTTGGCAGAAACGGTGTTACTTCGCCCAGACGGAAGATAAGCGAGCATTGCTGACTGGGAAGGACGGCCATCTTTGATTCATCAAGGTGTCCCATGACCACAAGTTTTGCAGATCACAGAATCTAAAACTAGCATTTTTATCAACTTTCCTATATCGTGCATCAAAAGTTAGCCCACTCCTTATTTTCACTCAATTTGCTTTCCATTTTAGGTGGGCTATCTCTCTGGACATTGCAGTAGTTACCTGTTGCAATATCCACCTCGTCTGGCGCATTCCAAGTAGGAATATGAAGCCCGTGCTCAAAATACGCCAAAGCTGTTAATAGATTCAAAACAGGGGAATTCTGCTCAGCTGGCAAATTAAACCCTTAAGAGATGGATGCCGGAACCAGTTGCAAAAGAGCAGTGGAACCTCCACCCGGAAATGATTTCGGCCTCCGCAGCAAGCACGAATGGCGAGTCGTTGCAAGCCAATTTGACTAGTGATGTCGCAAACCAGTCAAGGTGTCAAGTCTGAACAAGTTTGACTTTCCACAACTCCCAACACGAAGTTCGACAACATTTGTTAGGCGTAATTTGCTTCTGGTTCGCACTACTAACTAACGAAAGCATTAAAAGTACCTATTTTTGCTTTTCCATCGTGTAAATGTTACTGATCGTTTTATAAAATATAAAATAAACTACCTTCTAAATCTTGTGTTTCCCGAAATTTCATACCTTCGTGTAGACACCAGGCAACACTGTCCACAAGTCTAACTTCGTCAAACTTCGCAGAAAGTTGGAAGGTTCTCCGAACCGGTCGAACCTCAAGTGTGACATCCATAGGTTTGATAGTGTTCTGTTACCCATGCTCTGTAGCAGGTTAATAAAAGCGGGACAAGCCCCTCCCGCAAAAACCCTTCACTCTCTCCACTTTAGCAGAGTGAATGCAGGAGAGGGGGTGACTCACCTCCTCTCCAGCATTCCCTTGCTAATGTGGAAAGAATGGAAGCTTTGCGGGAGGAACTGCTTTTCTTGACCTGCAACAGTGTCACATATGAGGTGCTGTTTCTTTTTATTATATTTCTGGCGTCTCTTTGAGCGCACAGCTTTTGGCTTTTTTTTTTTTTCTTCCTAGTTTCAATCAGGTCGACTACATACATCCTAACTTTGCCAGAGAATTCGCGACTCCAGCAAACTACAGGGAGCGCGTTGGTCAGGTGAAATGGTGGACGAAAGGAGGTCGTTTTCATCGTTCAGCATGTGGACCACCATAAATTTCTTGCACTGCAGGGTGAAATCGGTGTCACGTATGAAAACAAAGCGAATTTTTGACGGTAGAAGCCTTTTGAAAAACAGCGCGAATAACACACAGACAAGAAGGAGAGAACACGCAGGACGAGGTGCTGCCTATCAACTATCTATTCAGAAGACATCCAGAGAAATTCACGCGAGGACGGCTTCTTCTTTTTCCTCTTCCACCGGTCATTCGCCATTAAGCACGCAACATTGTAAATCATATCAAATTAAAACACCAATGTGTTTTAATTTGTTATGTTGCGTGCTTAATGGCGAATGACTGATGGAAGAGGAAAAAGAAGAAGCCGTCCTCGTGTGAATTTTTCTGTATGTCTTCTGAATAGATAGTTAGTTGATAGTCAGCGCCTCGTCTTGTGTGTTCTCTCCTTCTTGTCCGTGTGTTATTCGCACTGTTTTTCAAGATGGATTGATACCAACTCACCCAACTTTTCATTCTGGTAGAAACCTTCTTCTAGTCAGTGCGGGGGAATGACACGGCGGAAACAAAATAATTACTGGAAACAATGTTTGTTTCTATGCTGCCTATGAGAACCATGCAGCGATAGCAGACGACAGAGTCGAAACAACCTTCCTCTCTTGAGATTCTCGGCGTTGCCACTACACGGCGTCAATTTTGCTGGAGTTACCAATAGCCCGGTCCAGAACTTAGTTGTCCAAATTCTAATAACAGCTATGGCATATTTCAGCCATGGGTCACAAATTTCTAATATGAATATGCCAGCTTAGGTAAATATATTCCAACGATTAGTTATAAATCTCAGATAATTAATTCAACAGTTATCACTTTGGACTCACAACCTTGTGTCCACCATGGCCGTTGACATCTTTCTAAAGGAAAAACTTTTTTAATTCAAATGCCTGTTTTTCTTTTCTTTTTTTTTTTTGTAATTATCACTGCCATTTGCGAAGCACGCTGTGTACTAACATTCTGCATAGCAGGATATTTCATTAAAAGGTCCCTTTAACCTTCAGACTGTGGTTTCGACTGATGTGCCCTTGGGAGTGTCCCCTCTCTGTCGTCTACTGTATCCAGCTTCCCGTCTCCCCAGTGTGCCAGAGCCGCCTCGATATAACTCTGAGGCGAAGTGGCGGCCTACGGCTCCCCAGTTGGTGGGATCGAATTCCAGCCGAGCCCCCAATCCAACGGAGGCTCGTTATGAAGAAGGTGCCTGACAACTGACATTTCGGTTAGCAGGTCAAAAGATCCCCAGTTGGTTGAAATTGTTCCTCAATCCTCCAGTGGAACATGCCAGATGCCCTTTGTAGGTTTGGCACACAACCCCCCCCCCCCCCCCCCCCCCCCAAGACTCTCTCTTTTTTTTTTTTTTTTTAATTCAGGTGCATGAATGACAAGTGGCAGATGTGGTCTTCCTCACAAAAGCACATCTGCCATGGTCAAAATGTACATTTTCTTCTCTTTTTTACATTGCTTAGCAGGCAACAGCAGCAAAGCATTAGAGACATAAAAAACAACAAGAAATGCAAAATAAATTAACAGTACAACGACAATCTGTAACAAAAAGCTTTTGTCGCAGATTGTCGTCGTAAACGAAATACATAATTTGGACGAGGGTTACTAAAAAAATGTACAGGATTATAGAATCATTGCAATTAAGCAGTCATGATCAGAGGTACATTTTTACGTTGTTTATAAACCTGCGCTTCAAGCCACTGTCCCGATTAATTTCTGAAATGGCCAGTCGACGGGTTCCATAGTTTGTACCCTGACCCGGGTATTACGCAAGAGCCCTGTCGAAGATTGTATTGTGTACTACCAGGACCTTGATTTCCCCGCTTGTGCTTGGCAGGGTGGCTGGCCCCCGTGGCAGAGAATGCGTGCATAGCGTTCTGCAAGAACTGCAAGATCACCTTCACGGCCAAGCTGAGCGACATCCGGTCCCACTCCAACTCGCGCAAGCACCAGAGGGCCATGCAGGGCCAGCTGCCCCGCAAGCGCATGTCCACCGTGCTCAGGCTGCAGGGAATTGAGTCCCTGGACGTGAGTGGCTCCCTCCTCTTCCCCCCTGTTTCCTCTCACTCGTTTCCGTGGTCACTGAGCGAGATACGCTGAGCGTGGGGATTCTCCGGCATCTCGTCGTCCGGCCAGTGAGGTCGCAGCGTCGGCCGACGAGAACGCCGAGAAGGAATCACGAGGCAAGAGGCGCGAAGATAATAGCCACGCCCCACGTTTCTCGAACTGCCAGTGACCAACAACCAAAGGCTTTTTTTTTCTTTTTTTTCTTTTTTTAGTGTTGTAATCATTGACACTGTTTAGCATCGAGAGCATAAAACTTTCAGTTCTTTTATTTCATTTTTTTTTCTTTTTTCTCGGGGCCTAAAGGTACTATAGAGAAGATCGAGGTATTGTACAATAGATAAAAAAAGGAAGAAAAAAAGACGAAAATGCAAAAATGAAAACTACTACGAAACATTGTTTCACAGATCGGCAATGGCAATTTTAGACTCGGCGGTGTTAGTAATTGTGGCTGTGGCTGCAGAGAAGCGATACCAATCGGTGGAGGTAAGCGGGAGCTGTAGTAGTACGTCAGTCTTGCATCCTGACTATGACACTCGATACTCAAATGCTCCGGCAGTGCCATTCCGTGTGCGTCATGTCGTCGTTGGGTATAGTTGTTGGCTATCCAACAAGCGCGTAGCCTCCACCGCCATGTCAGCCTAGTGGTGAACAGAGTATTATGTACTAGTATTTTTGGTTTCAACCGAAAAAAAAAGGAACCCAATAAAAGTAAGTTGAAGTCATCTTTCAAAATTTCGGTTTGAACCGATTACTGTTTGCATCTTAGAGTAGTATGGCCTACTAGCGAGCTGTACTGCTCATTGCCTTGGACACTACTACCTACTTTTCGAATTGTCACTCTTTCATCTGGCAGTTCCATACTCCTGTGACAGCACTGTACCAAACACTACCATTTTTACTTGATTGCCTAGTGCTCACAAAAAGAAGAGCAAAAAAAAAGGCAATATTGTCTTGGGTTGAATGAAGATGCTGCACATATCACTAAAGAGACCGGTAAACTTTCATAAATGTACATATTCACACACACACACACACACACACACAAAAAAAAAAGACTGCTTTTTATATAAATATCAAAGTATTCCGAATTTGAATAAAAGCAAAAACACTAAACCCTTGCATAGTTTTCCATCATTAAGGTGATGAGGAACATGATTTTTAAAAAAAATCTCAACACAATTTATATTTTTAACCATTTTTAGCAAGATATGCTGTATTGCTTTTGACACCTTGACATTGTTTTCTGAAAAATGTTGGAACAAACTTTACACAAACTTTCTGCTTGTGGGTACAAACTTGTGCTTGTGGGTACAAACTTTCTGCTTGTGGTAAACATTTTAAACAAAACCTCTAAGGTTTCTGCAGACTTCTGAAAAACTCGTGTCTGTTCTCAATGCAGAGGTAAAGTAAGCAACCATGGAGCTTGCACCGCAGAGCCAAGGGATCTTGGGTTCAATCTCCACCCCTGCCATTTTCAATCTTGCATGGATGCATGAATTTGTCTTTTAAAAAAAATAAGCATATTTGTTCGAAGCAGTATTTTTTTTTTTACATATTCGGTTTCCTTCACTCAAACAGATGAAAAATTTTCTATGGAAACTTACCATAGAAAAGGAGGTGGACTTTTAAAAAAGGAACATCATATTTTCCAAGAAAATGAAGGAAACAAAAATGAAATTTTTAAAGTGCTCTGCAAATGTCCACTACAGTATGTCAGTGTACTGCTTGAAGTTTAGTGAAAGCTAAAGGTGCACATTTATTATCGTAGATAAATCAGTGAGCATAGTCACGAAAACACAAACTCAACATCTGTGACAGATTTATACATAGGGTGTTTCACCAACAACCGAGAATCACTTTTTCAAAAAAAAAAAAAAAGGGCACTTGAAATAAAAAAACAATTGCTTCGGGAAAATGTTGTTGACAGCAGCGGACGTCATGTTACTAGTGCAAAGTGATAGTTCGCAAATTAATTATTTAAAATACACAATATCTTTTTTTTAATATGCTCGTGAGCAGGCACACTCTGATTAGAGATGTGTTGCCCATCATTGAATTATGCCATAACTGATAGAATTCAGATTAGTTAAATTCTGCTTTGTGCCATCCTCTTTCCAATTTAAGCCATTAGAAGACTGAGATGCCAGAAACAGATGCAAAAGACTGGCGAAAGTCCCACCCAGAAGTGTCACCATAGCAGTTGTGGCTAGCGAGTCATTGTGAAACAATGTGTCGCAGAAGAGGCACGCCACACTCTGACGTCTCCTTCGAGCTGGGAGCATTTGGCGCTTCTTTTTTTCCCCCCTTAGTTTCAGTATGGTGGACTCTAGACAGCGTATCTTTGCCACTGAATAGTGCAGAAAAGGTAGTTTTCGGATTCGTAGCGTATTTAGAAAATGAGCATCAAAATCTCTAATCTAAGTATGCCAGATAAGGTGAATAGGTAAAACAAAATAGGGGTTAAGCTAATTAGAAGGCCAATTATCACTTTTTTATTCTTACACTGACATCAGTGATGTGATTGCTGCGCCAAGGGGCTAACCCTGCTACATACTGCTACACTATGCCAAAATATGATTAATTTTCGCCAAGCCTGCGCCAGAAAACCAATTTCGGTTGTCTTTTGAAACCGAAACTAAACTAAGTGCCGTAATTGAGCATGTGTGTTATGTGCCACAGGCGGCCGCCCAACACGAAATACCCTGCATCAATCGTCCATCCGGTCTTGCATGATTTTCCCGCCGTCGCGCGTTTCGCGCTCTCGTTGTCTCATCGGTCTCGTCTAGCGTCATTTTTTTAAAAAATATTTTCAACGATAGACGCGGGTGTCTGTGGACGCTCCGACGCTAGCATGCCTGGTACCAGCCATGCAGTCATGCTGTGAAACGGAACCACGTTTTTGCGCGGCGGGAGTTACTTTCTGAGCTGAAGCACTCGCTCCTCAAAGTAACAACCGTGGGAAAACTATATTTGGTCCCTTTCTTCCATTTACTGTGGTCGCGCAATGTCAGGTGTTGCCTTCCCCACGTCGCTGCAGATATGGCGCTTTCTAAAATGAAACTAAGTACCGCCGCATGTTCATCAACATTACTGTTCTTCTTTAAATCATACATTACTAGAAAAATCCCTCTTTAAGGGGAGACACTATCCAGAAAAAAAAAATTCTGCAAAAAACATTGATTTAAAAAAAATTACATATTTTTTATCCATCTACATTCAGAGAGTATTCCCAGAAATTTTCCCCAGATTACACTGCATAATTAATTTTTTATAAATTATTTTTTTTCCCACCGAAGCTAAATAAAAGGTAGGGTTTGGAGCACTTTGAACACATTTTTCTTCGTTCCATTTTTTGGTATAAATTCCATTTTAGTCAATCTATCATTTGATAATGGCAATACAGGGAAGGCTCATTCTTCACTTTGCCTGACTGAAATTTAATAAGGAATGCGCCTATGGAGTTTGTTTGTCACTTTATGGATGTCTTTTATAAAAAATATTGACATTTTCTCGGAGACACAGAAGACCAAAAAGTTTACGAATTTTCCAGAAGAGAAAATTGATAGAAATCAATGACTTTTTACAAAAAGCTTTCCATAGGCGCACCTCCTAGGCATTCTGCTAAATATATAGCGAATAAAAATCTTGAATATTGTGATAGTTTTCCGACGGTAGATTAACTAAACAATGTAGGGGTGTCGCTGATAGAAGCTGCCCTAATTTCCTTCCCACTTAACCGACAGACCTGAAATTTTGTTATGCACCCTCTAGCATGACCACCAGCCTACCCTGTAAATTTCAATAATTTTAAGCCAAGGGGTCAAAAGTTGACCTTCCCAGGGCGTGTCTCCCCTTAACTGAAAGACTGCTGTGTCGAAGTATTGGTTACCTAGGTTTTTCTCTCGGTAGGCTCTCTTTCGAGAGGGACCCTGGTACGTGAAAAATTTGCCTCGAAAGACAGTTGTTGAAGAGAAGTGAGCTAAAGCAAACAAGGCAATGCCTGCACGCTGAACTCGCACAGCGCACTTGTTTGTCTCGAGTTGAGTCGTTGCACAAAGTGCTCCAAGAACGTTTTGATCCTGACTTGCGATGTCTTGCATCGGTGTGCTCAGGTTCTTTGTTTTGTGTGCGTGTGTTTAGCTTGTACTTTGTTTGCCGGCCTGGCAAGTACGTGCCGCTGGACCGTTTTTCGTCGTGTTAACGACAGTTACATTTTGCATACAATCTTGGGAATCAGTCGGCGACGGAACGGAGGGGCATGGTTTCGGTCTCGATCGAACATCAGTTGTCTCCGCTCGCGCGATGAAGCACGCGCAACTGCAAGCCTGCCGAAGTTGCACTCACGTGCGTGCGAACACGATTACACAACAGAGGCACCAGCCGGGACACTTGCAATCCATTGTTTTACGTTTGCTTACTTTTGAAGAAAATCTGGCACGTCGGGAACCAGTAAAACGGCGGCAAGCGGTTTTTCTTAATTGCTCGGAAATGCCTACAGCACTGTACACTTGTGGGATGTCTCAGCAGTAAAAGCACAATCAGCGAGTTCCGTCACAACACGTCACATCAGGACACAATACAGCACAAAGAGCCCTTCATTTGTGCAGCACTTAAAATGAATATTTTTAGTTTTATAAGAATATCTGGCTCCAAAAGCCACTTTTGCTGCTCCAAAACTCTGTTTTGGCTGCTCCGAAAGATGCTCCATAATTGCTTAGGCCAATCACATCACTGTGACATCCGCGGCGGTTGGCAATGTTATTTCAAAGAAATGATTTCTTTATTTCAACTGTACCTTTTCTTGTATTAGCATATTTTCCAGATTATAGTTTGCAGACTGTACATGTTTAAAAATTGAAATTTTATCTGGTGCAGACTATACAGGTACTGTAAACGACTAAATTTTCGCGAGGACCTAATTTTCTCGAATTTTGCGAATCGCCTACAATTCGCAAAAAATA